CTCCTAACAACAAAAACAAAAAAGAAAAGGTATATATCTATACAGGATAAGAATCAACGATCTGAATATTAAAATAAAAAGTCCGCTAATGTCAGTTGTATTATTTTTTTTTTCTCTCTCTCTCTCTTCTCGGTTCTTCTGTATTTACTGCATTATATATATACCTTATCAGCTAGTGTATGATGTGAATATAGACAAGCGATGCATGTGACTTTTCAAAGTATAAAGACATACAACATAACAAGTAGAAAGCAAAACAAATAGAACTAGGTATAAGGTACTTAAAAATATTGTGACATGATTTATTAACAATATACGAACACTTGCTCTTGTATAAAACAAATTATTTCGAATTTTGTTTTTGATTTTCAGCCTGCCAGAGCTATTTTAAATAGCTAGAGGGTCCTAATGCTCATGCTAGCAAAGGGAGGTTTCCCTGGGCTGCCGGTAGCCAACCTGTCTTGTTCCTAGGCTAGCCCCCTATCTACTGGAGAAAAAAATTTTCATGGCTAACGAAAAAGATCAAGAACAATGTGTAAATACACGTAAATTAGTTCTTTTTGTTGGATGGAACGTTCGATTGTGTTTCCAACGTGCAAAGAAAGAATTAATTATGGATCAACTGGAAAAATATCATGTACAAATAGCTGCACTCAGCGAATGTGGAATGTTGGATTCTGGAATATCATATGTTGGCAATTATACATTCATTCACTCCGGTGCAAGTGGTAATAACAAAACTCGAAAAGCTGATGGTGTTGCAATATGCCTGAATAAACATGCAACAAAGATATGGAAAACGTCTGGATCAATATGGAAAGCAATTAACTCAAGAATCGTTACTGTTCATTTAAAATGCAATCCTATTAACATCACAATAATTGCTTTATATGCGCCGGTAAATCGTATAAATGATCAAAAAGAAGAAGAAGAATCATCCGACGCTCTCTACGACGATCTTCAACAAGTCGTAAATGACACCTCAAAGAATGATATGCTGTTGATCATTGGTGATTTTAATGCAAGAGTTCACGCAAACAAGAACATGATGAATGGTCCTGTTGGGCCTCATTCAGTGGATAAGTTGAATGAAAACGGAGAACGACTTGCCGATTTCTGTTTGATAAATGATCTTATCATCACCAATACATTTTACCAACACAAACCCATACATCAATGTACGTGGATGCAACCTGACAACAAGCAATGGCATATCTTAGATTATATGATTATAAATCGGAAATTTAGGTCCAGCGTACACGACGTAAGAGTACATCGAAATGCTGATGGTGCTATTTGTACAGATCATCACTTGCTACGTGCCAAGATCAAATTACATCTAAAAAGTCGAAAACAACATCAGCGACCGAAACGATCATTGTATGGAACGGAAAAGTTTCAGGACAAGAACCTGGTTGAGAACTTTCAACGAGAACTGGAGCAAAAGAGAGTTGACTCGTCCAAGGGTAAGCAGACAGCTGATGACAATTACAAAAACTTCGTCAAACATGTTCAAGAACTCGGTGACAAATACTTCAAACAAGACCAAACTAAGCAGAAATATAAAAGGTGGATGACTGATGAAATCAAAGAATTTATCAATCAAAAATCAAAATCTTTTCTAGATTGGCAAAATCAAATCGGCAATACAATGGAAAAATATATCAGAAGCGATACAGAAGCCTCACAAACTTAGTCAAGAAAAAGGTGAAAACGCGCCAGGTGGAATATTGGGATGAGGTAAGTCAGAAGATTGAAGACGCAATCAAACAACATGACTCATCAACAGCATATGCAATGATACGACGTCTACGTGGTCAAAATAAACAAAATATTTATATGCCAATCAAAGATAAAGACGATCGTCTTCTAACAACATCTACGGAACGAGTAAATCGATGGCGAGAATATTTTTATGAACTTTTCAACGTGCCAACCAATGTAGATCCAACATTCATTCAAGAAATCTCAACACCGGATATTGATCCAACTGAAAAAGAACGACAAGAAAAAACTCCAACGTTACAGGAGGTTGTTGAAGCTATTAAACAAATGAAAAACCATAGAGCACCAGGTAAAGATAATCTAACAGCAGAAATTTTCAAAGCAGGAGGAATAACAGTGGAGAAATGGTTACATGAAATAATTTATGACATATGGACAAAAGAAGCAATAGTTAGAGACTGGACACTTGCGACACTCACTCGACTGTACAAGGACAAGGGTGATAAACAAATATGCGATAATTATCGTGATAAACAGTGCTGGCCAAAAGTCCCTCACCCCCCTGAACGTCACTCATAATAAGAGCTAGACAGCTGAAATTTTGTGTGTATATACTTTATGATGAATTCTGATCATAGGCACAAGCCCCGTCATAATTGCTCGAGTTAGAATGGAGTTATAATAGGTAGTAGTCATGTCCCTTGTGAAACCCATAATTCGAGAAACGAAAGACCTTTTGAGTCGGCCAACATCTCATTATGTAGCACTCTATTCTAGCTATCTACAATATAAATTTCAGTGAAGTTTATAGAGGCGTTGTAGAGTTATGACCATTTTACTGTAATCATTGATGTCCACGAAAACCATGTAATGACATTGTGAAATTCATAACTCAGTGAAAGCTTAATGGATCCAAGTGAAATTTTCAGAAGATGCTTTCTAACAGTTGCCCATTAGTTCCTGAAAGTTTCAAAAGCAAACATTGCATTAGAAGAAAATGGCACATTGCTCATTATCAGGTACTTGTCAAAGCTCTAGAAGTCCGAATTCTCGAGCAAATGTACTCATTTTTTTACCAATGAAAGATAATATCTGGGGCTTCATTTTTGTACTAAAATATTGATAATTACTTTTGGATTTAATAAAATAAAGCAAAAATGTTTTATAGGTACTTTTTTTCATGTTGTCAGTAACAATAAGAAAATGCTGTCATATGACAGTATATCATTAGAAAAGTCTTTTGAAACACCTCAGAGGTCTTCAGAAATATTTAAAGGCAAACCTGTGGAGCTCTCTAAGAAGTTGCAAATCACTATTTGATAGTAAATCATATGTTGCACACATCAGACAATCATAAGAGCCATTTTAAAATAACATATTTTTGAAATAGCATCCTTATTGATTGGACTATGGTATATTTGGATATATTAGTGAGGAATTTTATTGCAAATATTAATAATTCTAAACCGAATATGTCTTTGTGTAACGCAAACAGGAAAATTGTCTTGATCTGTGGAGTTTGCGAACGGCCTGAAAAGACTTTTCTAATGATATACTGTCATATGACAGCATTTTCTTATTGTTACTGACAACATGAAAAGGTACCTATAAATATTTTTGCTTTATTTTATTAAATCCACGAGTAATTATCAATATTTTAGTACAAAAATGAAGCCCCAGATATTATCTTTCATTGGAAAAAAATGAGTACATTTGCTCGAGAATTCGGACTTCTAGAGCTTTGACAAGTACCTGATGATGAGCAATGTGCCATTTTCTTCTAATGCAATGTTTGCTTTTGAAACTTTCAGGAACTAATAGTCCGAACTCTTTTCAGAATATTTATATCTCATTAGAATCTACATGATACATATTAGTCCCAACTCGCAAGCGATTTGACTTTTAGAGACACATGCGATTTTATTTTTTCTTAACATACTCTTCGATTTCCCATGTACTCCATAGTTGATTTACAGCTAAAATAACCATTCCAATATATTTTCTCATCCATTCTAATCGATTTTGTTTAAAACGATAATAAAAAATAGCTTCTTTTGTTAACAAACGATTTGAATGTTTCAACTTTTTCATTACATTGAATTGAATTTAAAAAATTCCTTTTTTTCTTTTTCTAATGATATCATTGCTGCATACTATGGGTTATTTAATTTCAATCTGAATTTAAACAGAAAAAAAAACACTTGATTTCAAATTGAAATAAGGGACTAAGGGACTAAGGGACTAAAGGGACTAAGGGACTAAAGGGAC